AGAGTCACGCTCCCCCCAGTGAAGGTGTGGTCGCTGCCCCTTGCGTGGGGGCCAACGTTGGACAGGTGCATACTGGCTCTCTGCCACCTCCCTGGGCACCCAGTGCAGCCCCCACACCACGGCCAGCGTGCTCGCTGCACGTGCTCTGATCCGGCCCTCCCCCGCCTGGCTCCCCACTGGCCTCCCACGGCCTCCAGGCTACGGTCCCAAGTCTTTCAATGTGGCCTGATAGCCCCACTGAACTACAACTCCAGCGTTATGTTTTTCCCAGCCTATTCCTGTCTGCTGCAAGCCTTTGCTCATATGTTCCCTGCCTGGAGCCCTGTTCACATTAATTCCATGCCCTCTCATCTGGCCAAACCCTCTCTGTCTCTTCCTCAGTGTGGGGCTGCATTCCCCACCCTGCCCTGCCCTGCCCGCATTGGGTGCCCTGGGAGACCCTACCGCAGTCCCGAATGCCTTAGCCAGCAGGCCTGTCCTGGAAATTTGGGGCCTCTGGCTGCCTCATATTTAGTAAGCATACGACTTCCATTTCCCTACCTCTGAATGGCCGTAATAAACTTGGGCCAAGGTAAGAAAACCAGGAAAGCAAAGGAGTTTTTAAAAAAGGAGAAGAATGTTTATTTTCCCTTGCCATCTGCCATCCACCCAGAGTTCCAGGAAGCAAGGCCCCTTCTTAGGTTACATAATCATCAGGCCCCAAATTGTCTCCCCAAGGACTCAGCTGCAAATACAAAACGCCGTCCCACTCTGAAGGGTGTGAGAGGTGGAGCCCAGTGTCATCGAAGGGCCAGGCAAGCTCTCTTGCTCCCCGCCCAGAACTCCCACCCTTGGAACGATCACAGTGCGCTGGGCCAGCCACGCTGGTTTCCTGCAGAACACACCCCTCCCTAAGGCAGATGGGGCAAGGCAGGGAGAGCCTGAATTACACAGTGCTGTATTTTATTCTTGAAAAATCTCAGACTCCAAAAATTTGCAAGTGCAGTGCAAAAAAACATTTTCGCCCTAAACTATTTGAGTAAGGCCATGTCAGTGTATGTTTCTACTGACAAAGACACTGTCCGACGTTATCACAGCACACCATCAAATCGGGAGAGTAACAGGGTACAGTCACGTGTCACCTAAGGATGGGGATATGTCCAGAGAGATGCATCTTTAGGTGATGTCATTGTTGCATGAACATTCTAGAGTGCACTTACACAAGCCCAGGTGGTACAGCCTACTACACGCCTAGGCTATATGGTGTAGCCTGTTGCTCTAGGCGGCAAGCCTGTACAGCATGTGACTGTCCTGAATACTGCAG